AGATCGATTCCTAGTACCAAAAATGAAAAAATAAATAAAATAAAGTCAATGGAATAAAATAAGGAACCATGAGTCCATACTCAGGTGAATTAATGAATAGACGAATGGAGAGAAGGAAAGTCATTTTCATTACAGTAAAATAGAAACATATATATTTATATTGTAGTATATGTCATAATTTAGAAAGTTTGATGGAAGTAAAGTTACCAATGAATGCTAAAACTATGGCTGAAGCTTGATGATGTGCAATAGGCATTTCTAGCATCTCTCTAGTTATTACCTATGCTTACAAAGGGGAAAACAGTAAAGTCATAATGGAGAAACAGGGCAGGTACCACATGGACACCTGGCCAAACTTGTCACACATGATTATCCTTGATTTTGGTTCCATGGAGAATCATTTACATGCTGCTAACTGTTCTATCAGACCAACAGACTTTGCTCCAGTATATTCTCCAAGCTGAGTTCCCCTAAAATGCCACTACTTCTTCAACTCTCCCCTATAGAAAAAGGGGTATATAAGTCTCTGAATCTTATTGGGCTAGTGGGTAAACACACTTCTGTGATCTTTCACCTTTTGCACATTAATAAATTTTTATGCTTTCTCCTATTTAAAGCTTATTCCAATGAATCTTCAAAGGGGGGGAGGAAGTTTACCTTTACCCCTACATTAGCCTGTATGATTTAAATATGTCAGGGTCCAGAGAGACAAAGGAAGGGTGAGGGACTGCTTTGAAAGGAAGACTGAGAGCGTGAAAATGAAAATTAGGATGCAAGCAATACTGAAAGAGCTTCTTAAAGTGCAGTTGGGTGCTGGGGATGTAGCCTGGTACTTGTAGAATACTTGCCTACAGCCCTGGGGTCCTGGCTTGGATACATGGGAACACACACACACACACACACACACACACACACACACAGAGTCAGGAAGCCACTAAGGAAGCAGGACTCATCTGCATATCTCAAGGTGCTGCCTGCAGGGGCGTCTGGGAGGACCAGATAATTATTTTGTGTCCAGATACCCAAGATGTATGTTAAAAGGCTATCAGACCCTTGCTTTAAGGGCATTTTTTCTAAGTGTATACATTCTTCTCTTTGTCTTCTATCTATCAAGCAGCTCCTGTCTTTCACAACATTCAACAGTTCTTCTACACAAGAATTTTTACCGCTTTGTACTAAATCAGCTCTGCTTGTCCATAAGTTTCCACTTTCCCCTGAACGGAGGCAGACTAACCTGAATCTGTCTTCCAAACTGCAATTTCTAAGATGCTAAGTAACGTACTTTTACAGTTTCTGATTTTGATGAGAGACATAGCAATTAAATGTAATACATGATCCTGGATTGGATCCTGCGAAGGAGAGGGGAAGATGTTGATGATGGGAACAGTTGTTGAAATTTGAATAGAGCCTTTATTACATGGTATTAACAATTAATGTTAGGTCTCCCAATTTGATTAATGTACTGTGATTAACTAAGAGAATGTCTTCTTTTTGTGGAATTATAAAGATTTTAGGAACAAAATGGGAAAATGTCTTCAAATTACTATAAAGTGGTTCAAGAAAATAAGTGAGTGCATTTTGGGTGTGGGTGAAAAATACACCAAAGGATATTACTGTAAAAAATTTCTCATACTATTCTAGTAATTTTTCTCTAAGTTTGGGATAATATAAAAATTAACAAACAATGCTGCAATGTCTACAAAATTCTCCTCCTGCAGAGTCTGAGACATCAGTCAGAGTTCTTCAAATTCTTATTCTAGAGGAATTAGTGATTTGGAATCAATTTTCATCCTAGTATTAAAAATAGGACTGAACATTGTGGTGTGATGGCTGAAGCAGGAGGATTGCAGGGTTGAGACCAGCCTGGGCTATTTAGCCAGTTCAAAAGCAGCCTGGAATACACAGCAAGACCCTGTTTAAAACAATGAAACAAAACAAAAATGCAACAACATCTAGACACGGTGGCACACACTTGTAACCTCAGCACCGTGGGAGGCTGAGGCAGGCAGACGAAAAAGCCTGAACCCAGCCTGGCAAATGAGCAGCTTGATGAGACCTTGTCACAAAACGAACACTAAAAAGGGGGTTGGAAATGTGGTTCAGCGCGAGGGCCCAATGTTTAATCCCCTGTAACAACAAGGCAAAAAAAGAGGAACTATGAAATAAAACTTTTACTGTCAGAGGGCTAGTAAGAATGCAACAATTTTATCATAGTACTGATATATTTAAGGCCTTATTATCTTTATATAGTTTTTGATCTTATCTCTTTAACAGAAGAGCCAATACGCTTGATTTGGAGGACATTTTTATTATATAAAAACTCAAATGGGAGACAGAAAGTCACCCGTCAGTGTCTCAGGAGGACAGCGTGTATCGCACAAGAACAGAGGAGTTGTGACTGTAACTGGTAAGACTAACATTTAAAATTCTGCAGTTAAAAAATTCCAAAAAGCAGCTCCTGTGAAACTTTAGAGGAATTAAATCTGCAACTCTTTTCCTCCATCTCTGACTCCTGCTGCCATCACTTTGCAAAGAGTGGTCATTTTCTGGGTCAAAAATGCTGACCCTATAACTTGTTACAAAATACACCTATACTCTCCAGATGGATATGTCTGTACCTGTCAGCTTATGCTCATCGGCTGGTTATTTTAGAACCTTAACTAGTTCTTGGCCAGATGTTGATCCTGACAGACACTGGAGTGATACATGTGACCAAGTCCAACAAGTCTGAGTGCTGGAGGGACTAACAGCTCATCCAGCCCAACACCATCACTTGTTTCATGTGATGCTTTCCTCACCCAAACCCAAAACATACAGGTGGAGTGGACAGACTGACCTCAGCTCTAAGTGTCCAAACAGCTACTAACAGATTTTGCGATCTTCATTATTCAGTGCTCCCATGTCCTTCCCCATTACACACTGAAAATGGCAGATACCACCTACTGCAGAGGCTGCGACGTGGAGCAAATGTGTAAAAGATTCTTTCCTTCACGTGTGTGCTGCTGGGGACCGAACCCAGGGTCTTGCACACACCAGGCAAGTGCTTTATCATTGCGCGACATCCCCAGCTCTACTTTTTAAAGTAATTCAAATCCTGTCAAAGGGAGGGGAAAAGAGTGCTCTAATAGTTACACAGGCACTGCCAGTAAAAAAAATAGGAACAGAGGGTATTAAGTTTAGATGAGAATGCAAACATTGTATTTGACAAATTATTTTCAATATAACATTTCAAAGTTACAATAGTTTGAATTCTATGAAAAGCTCCATGTTCAGTCATCTGAAGGGACACTACATTTAACCAGCTTGTTGGACATCAGGGGGCTTAAAGTGTGCAGCAGCTCTACTGCTAAGTTAATTAACCTCTCTAATTCGGTCTTTAGCAATCAGTACACAATTTGTTAGGACTTTGGTAAGAAAGTGAAGCATTATGGTAAAGAATGGATGTTCCTTTCCCTTTAAAGCCCATCTATCCTATTTTTTTCCCATCTACCCTATTTAAAATGGTTTGCAGGCATCATCATCGTTAAAATGAATGGTTGTCTTTACACTGGAGCAGATTAGTCATGAATAAATCCAGTTCACAATGCCATCAAAGCCAAGCAGCAAAACATTGTGATGCGTCTTTGATTCTAAACTTTGCTGATCCCTGTTCTTGTCATGAACTACAGATTATATGAGTTATAAATCTTTCATAAAAGTATTTTAAAATCTCATATAAGAGTTGAAAATATTTACTGCCTTTGTCTTGATGCTTTAACATTTTAACTAGAAGCTAGTTTTTTCCTACTGAGTGGTCTTTTGTGAAATCCGATTACCCTCTGCCCCTCCTTCAGCAGAGCTCATGTGGGTTGGTTTCTAGGGCTTCAGGTAGCCCAGGATACACACACTGCCCCTGCTTCATGAGCTTCTCCTGGCAAGGGGGCGGTTCTGGGGGCCCCTTGCGGGTGGCACTGGAAGAAGTGGGTAAAGAAAACATCTTACAGCAGCTCTACCAGGATCCTGAATGGCTCTGTGTTCTTTTGGGCCTTCGAAGGGATTTGTGTTGAGGCAGCGTCAGGGCCTGACTCTAAGTTTGCCAGGAAGGCAGACCAGAAATAACCTGGACAGGTAACTTTTGAGGCGAGTGCAAAAGCTCAAGGCATCTTCCTCCCAAAGACTCTGGGATGCAGACAGCCTTTCTCCAGATGTGGAGCCAGAGGCGTGGGAAGCCTGCCTTACTCTTTTCCCTCAACCCCCACATATCCTGCTGCCCCCACCATTCCATCTCATCTCAAGCCCTCCGCACCCCCAATCCCTTCTCAGTCCCACTGCTTCATCCAGAGCTTTAGTTTCCCACCTAAAGTACTACAATAGCCTCCTAGCTGGGCTCCCTCTGTTGTGCCACCATGCTACCCTTCACAACCCTATTCTTTTTGTATTTTTAAATTCAATTTTTTTCTTTTTTTAGATACGGTCTTACTATGTAGTTCCAGCTGGTCTTGAACTCACTACGTAGCCCAAGCTAACCTTGAACTCGAGGTACTCCTGTCTCAGCCTCCTGAGGGCTGGGATTACAGGTGTGTGTCACCACACTCAGCCTTACCTCTCCTTTTTTATAAAGCTGCCCAAGGTGCTTTTTTTTTTTTAAGTAAAAGTATGACCACGTCTCTTCTTAGAAGTACTCACTAGCTCCCTATTAACTTACAACATAGTGTCTGAACCCCTCGGTATGTGTACATACACCCCTCTTCTGCACTCCCCTAGTTCTATCTTTAGTCATCCCTCCTTCCACCGGTAGACTCTATCTCTCACTCTATTCCCCCACAGTAAGCTTCCAGAGAACCACGGTTTTTTTTCCAATCAAATTCCCATGCCTATAATGGAGCAGGGTGCTGGGGATATAGCTCAGCAGCACAGTGCCTGCCTGGCAAGCATGAGGTCCTGAGTTCAATTCCCGGTACCAAAAAAAAAACGTAGCAGGGTGCTCGGCGTGTAACCACACATAATGAAAAACTCAGAAGAAGAGTGATTAGCACATCATTTTAATTACAATTAACAGTTCAGATGAAGAACAGGACTAGAATAGTGTTTAATATCAACTGGGAAATCAACTTTACATAAAAGAAAGGACATATGCCAGAGGAAGTCCAAAAATGGTGCAGCTTACATTATTGCACGTGGATGGAATATGCTATTTAGGGTAGCATAATACACAGGTCCGGCCAGGAATAGGAAGAGAGAAACACAGAGGACAAAGCTCTAGCCAATATTTTCTCTGGATTCTGAACTCCCTAGTGGCGTCAAAAATATTCAGCATACTGGACACATTCAACAAGTTCTTCACAAAAACAACTGCAGGGTCCTCAACACATTTGAGTTCTGCTCACACTCTTTGTCCCAATCATGGTAAACGCAGGGTACAGCTCTCCCTCACGTAACCGGACGTGTGTAACACAAAACCTCCCAGTGCCTGTGCTCAGGGGGAGGAGGGAAGGGAGCAAATTTCTACTTTACGTGGCTTTTAGGAAACAATACTGTGGCTATTGTTCCCAAAGGTTACTCAAAAAGGGCAACCTTTTGAGCTCTCTTGATTTTTGGTCATTTACACTGAAACATGGAGAGTGATAATAAACAGGAATGAATACTAAAATAATTCCTAGGCTGCTACTAGAAAATAAAATACAATTAAAAAAAAAGTTCCCTGCCATATTCACAAAGGTGGCAATAACTGTATAAGAAAAAGGCTATAAACTTATAGAAAAGATCAACTCTGGTGTCTAAACAAATTACAAAATTGACTTTGTTTTTATATCCTTGAGTGTTATACAAAAAATGTAAACCTGTGGACCTAGTCACCAAAAACGGGTATCCTCCTAAGCCCAGGTACGACCTTAAAGTTTGGCCTGAGCTAGTTTTATCTTCAAGTTTTCTCCAAGTTTGTCCATGAACTCAAAGGTATTCAAGTAGTCAGAACGTTGCACACTAATAGGAGAGGAAAAAAAAAAGAAGGAAATTTAGTTTGTCTCTGAGGTAGAAGGAAACACAAAATTCCAGAAATGTGACTTAAGGTAGTGTTCTATTTATTTCTAAAAGAAAATCAACTGATGTTTTTTTCTGGTTTTGGTTTTTCTCCGGTACCAGGAACCGAACTCACGACCTTGCGCTTGCCAGGCAGGCGCTTTGCCGCTGAGCTAAATCCCCAGCCCCTCAACTGATGTTAACATGCAACAATCCATAGGCGATGACCATACAAGGGTCTCGAGGTGGACCCAGGCTTAGAACTCAGGGCATGGGCAACTTGGCAGGGAGGCTGGTTCATTCATGAAATTTCCCGCCATGAAGCTTTGAGGTTGAAATTGTTACAGAGCTTCAGTTCACACTAAAGCCAGCAAGACCAAACTCATTGCACATTCATCATTGTGAGAAATAACAGAACTTACTGAAGGGACAGCCATGCCGTGACCTACATTTCCATATACTCTTACAAGTCCTTAAAACAAGCTTTAATGCTCTTATTTTTATCAGTATCTTACTTAAGAAAACCAAAGGACAATGTACTCGCTGACATAATCCTGCAGGTAAGTGTCTATCAAACAGGCTACAAAGATCCTACACTGATAACATTTTAATCACTGTATTTTTGCTGGAAAGTCAAATTAAAAAACATAGTGATGGAGTCTATGCCCTTTACTGGGACCCACTGATCCCAACTGAGATCTATGAGGAAACACTCGTTGGGACATGGTATTAGGACTAAGTTTTCGTAGAATTTCTTGAGGTGAGTCGTACTTACTGACTTTGAGGGAAGAGGACAATGAGCTGCTAATCCAGCTGGGACACTAACTGCCATGTCCTAGGAAAAACCCTGGGCAACACACAGGCCCTTGGATACGAGACTGACAGTTACAGACAGCTAAAGGATATTTTATCAGTTGGAATCAACTGGACACATTATACTTGAAATGCTTACTTTTCTCATTAGCAAATTAAAAAAATAAAAAGGGTAGAATAAACTAGCCTCAGAGTTACCTTTGTAACTGCCTATTATTTTCTTCCGAAAAATCAAACAGATCCTTTGTTAAACAGATTGGAGATCAGCAAGTTATAGTCCAGCCCACTGACCAAATGTAGTCTGTGGTCTAATTTTGCATACAAAAGTCTGACTGCTGTGCTGCTTTATCCTTGTCTTTCTGTACTGTCTTTCACTACTTTTCTGCTACAACGCAGACACAAAGTTGAGCAGTTGCATAGTTACAAAAAAGAGGTCCCATAAAGCCAAAAATATTCTCTATCTAACCATTTATATGCACTGTCTGCTGATTCCTAGGAGGACACCGGATAACAGTGCACATTCTAAAAGGCACTGATGAGAACTTGACCAGAGTTTGGGGCTTACACTTACTTGGGTAAACCTTTAATGCAAGCAGCCAAGTCCTTGGTCATGAAGCCAGCCTCAATGGTCTCAATGCAGACTTCTTCTAAAGCTTTTGCAAACAAGCCAAGTTCCTTATTGTTATCAAGCTTCGCTCTGTGGGCCAACCCTCTGGTCCAGGCAAAAATGGAAGCTAAAGGGGAGAAACAAAAATCCTATACTTCAATCATCTCAGTTTTAGGGATCCCAAATGTTTCACATTTCCCTGAAACAGAAAAGTATTTGCTGAGGTGATATACTTCATTACATGCTATCCAAAAGGCCTGGAGATTTTTGAAAAGTTGGAAATATTCTGCCCAATAGAAACTTGAAAATTCACACTTGTATGGTGTGGCACCAGTGCTCAAAGCTTAAGGCATTTATGCTAATTTGGAAAAGGCTGCTCTCCCATCTTTCATCTGTGATGTTCTCTTCCTTCTAGGCTGTGATCCCTTTTTAAAGTGCTGTCCTTAAAACCTTCAGAGAAGGATCTCTCCATGTAGCTTTTGTTTATAGACTTTAAATTTCACTGCACCAGAGGTAAAGGAAAATGCTTGCTGATAATATTTCTGTAACGTATACTTTCCACAAAATAGACAAGCACATATTGTGTGTTTTAAGAAGTATCTTAAAATACCTCCTATTAGAATGAATCAGCTACTTAGTGATGATTTTGGACACAGAACACTGAACACCCAAGGGACATGTCAGCGCTCCTTGGCCTTGGGGGGTGCGCTCTCTGGCTGGCAGTCAGGGCAGAAGTGGACATCATCTTACCAATAGGGTTGGTGGAGGTCTCCTGTCCCTTCTGGTACATGCGATAGTGGCGTGTTACAGTTCCATGGGCAGCCTCGGCTTCCACTGTCTTGCCGTCTGGACAAACCAGCACGCTGGTCATCATGCCAAGGGAGCCATAACCTGTAGGTGGCAGACCGTGAAGTATTGGGTCCAAATGCGTGAAAAGCCTGGGTCTCTCAGACCTGAGGAAATTGACTCAATCTCATCAGGTCTTGGTAAACAAAGTAAACACAAGCAGTGATCAGTAACTCTTTACTTTTCAGAAAGCACAGTTCTTGCTCCAGGTTTTAGAGTCACAGGTTCTGGGTAGGCTGTAACATTTGCTCACTTACTGCAGGGGTAACTGCTCCATGATGGAGAGCCCAGAGTCTGCCTGCCTGCATTTCACCCTCATTCTGGGGCCTCATGGCTACTGTGACATTGTTTTCCTACCTGTATGTTATGGTCTGTGCCTAGATAAACCCTCAAAGCCTCACGCAGTCACAGGGCTTTTTCAGAGGAGGCTGGATCTGGAGTGTGTGATGCTGGGATTAAGGGTATGTGATTACTAAATCAGTCCACTGATTGGTTTGGCACCACCCTAACCCTGGTAGTCTGGATAAGATAAAAGGGGCAGAAAGACACTTTTCAACTCTCTTGTTGCTTTTGCTGTCTTCCTCCACCATGAACAGTTGCCCTTCTGCCATGCTACCCTTGGAGCCTGCCGATTATGGACTGAAACAAACCATGAGCTAAATAAAGCTTTCCTCCTTTAGCTTTGCATGTCAGGTATTTCATCTCAGCAATGAGAAAAGTAACTAAGACTATAAAATGGGGATAATCAAAGCACCTACTTCACTGAGTTGTAATGGGATTAAATGAATATATGTGTGCGTGTGTGTTCATATATATGATATTCATATTCCTCAATCAGTGTGTTACTATTTGTCTTATATGAGGGTGTTCTGCTCTCCAGCTGCACAGACTTGCTGGGACTGGGAAGAAAAGGGAAGCAAAAATGCATGGATTGGACCCAACAATGCTCACTTGTTCTTCCTTTCTTTTTTTGGTACCAGGAATCAAACTCAGGACCTTGTGCTTGCCAGGCAGGCACTGTGCCACTGAGCTAGATCCCCCGCCCCTTCCTTGTTCTTTAGTATACTCAACATTCTGTTAAATGGTTTCCTCTTCAGAAAACCATATTCCTAGTTTAACTTGAAATATACGAAATTTTAAGTTTGTGCAATTGATTTCTCTCCTTTTGTGCACTCTCTTTCACCTGAAATCATAGAACCCTTTTCTCCATTTTTGCTACCTCCCATAAGCACCTGTGTAGTAATGTAAACCTTAACAGAGTGTTACCTTCTTTGTTCCTATTCTGCTCTAAGACTAAGTGGAATTCCTCTAATTATACTTATTTTTTGGTGAATTTTCAGTACAGCTAAGAGATTTGTGTATTAGTAGCTTCTTTCATATTACCAATTTCCCCCAAGACTTCATAAACACTCAGATATTTATTTATTCAGGTCTTTTTGAGACTGGGTATCACTACACAGTTCAGGCTGGCCTTAAACTCACAACAGTCCTCCTGGGTCAGCCTCCCCAGTGCTGGGATTACAGGTGTGCGCCACTACGCCTGGCTACCACTCAGATATTTATTACAGAGGTTCATAGTCACCATACTAAGGTGAATTTGTTTTTTTTTTTTTGGTTTTTCTCTGGTTCCAGGAACCGAACTCAAGACCTTGCACTTGCCAGGCAGGCGCTTTGCCGCTGAGCTAAATCCCCAGCCCACTAAGATGAATTTGTATATCCACTAATATTAGCAGACAACACAGTGCCACTGTCTGATCTGAGGTCAGATAAATGAAATAGTGTGAGTCCAAAGCAGCTCACACCTCTTGAGAAAAACAAGAGGGAAGACAGCTCTGCTGTCTTTTAATCTGTTGAGTTGCCTAAGAGTGATGACTTGTAGGCTCTGACTAACCAATTAACCAACAGTACCTCTTGGGTAGGTCTCTCTTCAGGGATCTCCACACTTCACACCTCAAAATCTTTTGGATTTCCTTAATTTGGCATTTACACAGGAACTATTTCTCTAGATACGTTCTACTGGCTGCCATCAGGACACTTAAAACAATGGAAGAACTTTGGGTCCCTCTCCCAGAACCCGATTACAAACAGGAGTTGTCCTCCTTCATGGAGTCTCCACAAAGCGCCACCCCTTCCTTGTGCATTCGGGACAAGTGATTGTAAAGATTTAGAGACAGAGAAAGAGGGGGCAGAGTGATGTAACTCATGGATCTGACATGAAAGCTATTTTCCACTGGGCTGTTCTACTGACTTTCAAATTGGTAAGAGATACTTGACTTTCATACGAGAAGTAGTAGTACTTCCTGGGAAAAAGCAAATGTAATTAAAGCTAACACAAATGTTCACTCAGGACACTCCAGTTCACACAGCCAGCATGGGGAACTGAAACTGGAAAAGCAGCTTGGTGCTGAAGAAAACAGGCAGGAGAGCATTCTGATGATTCGGCGTTCATGCCCGGCATGAAGCCCCTGGTTTCTTGAATTTCTGTGAACAGCATTAGGCTTCTTTGCTCAATTGCTTTGTGCCAAAAGCTGGGCAGTAACCACTTGAGTTAGACAGTATCAGAACAGCATTTGAGGCAAGCTCAAGAGGATGATCTGTGATTAGGACCCGCTGCTAGACAAATGAGCTCTTACAGGCTCCAAGCTTGGTTAACAGATGGTCCAGGGCCGTTACTACCTCTCCTTGCCTGAGAAGCCTGGCATTTTTACAGTGTGGTAAGAACTGGAGGAAAAATGAGAGCAAGGAAAGAGGATGATTTTTCAGATTAGGTAGTTGGCTGTCTGCTGGAGGCTTTGAAATTTCAGGTAGGGGAAAAGGCTGAGAGAAAAACCGTATTATTAAGTTCTAGGTCTGGAACCAGGAGTGTCAATGCACCAGTTACTAGACTTCCTCTGTAGCCCAGAATGAAAGCACTTCCCCAGTCTGAGTTTAACTTCCTTATCTGTTACATCAGAGCACAGGCCTGGATGCCCTGCGGCACTAACATTTCATGATTTTACAACTAGAAGCTACAAAATCCCTTTCCCAAAATGCACACCTCACTGCGCCCAGCCTGGGTCCACCTCACTTGGTCCTCCCCCTTACCTTGGGCCACAGAATCCGACTGTACGTCGCCATCGTAGTTCTTACAGGCCCAGATGAAGCCTCCCTCTGACTTCATAGCTTGGGCCACCATATCATCGATGAGCCTGTGCTCGTACCAAATCTTCTGGGCTTCAAACTGCGATTTGTACTGCCTAAGACACAAAGAAAAACAGGAAGAGTAACAAAGGTAACTGGTTTTGTTTCTCCCAAAAGGGTTAGAGGGTGGGGGCAGGAAGCAGCATTTAAAAATGAATGTGGGGCCCTTATTTAAAAACACATTTTCCTTCTAAAAGCAACTCAAGTTTTATTTTGCCTCTGTTGAATCTCAGCTTTGTCTTCATCTAACCGAGGATCACTGATGATTTTTACTTGATTTGCCCCAGAGGCAAAGGGTGAAAGAGATGCAGATTCTGTTCTACAAATGCCAGTGGACTTGAAGAAAAAGAAAAAGGAATAAAACTGTACTTACTTGTCATATATCTCCTGAAAGATGTCTTTAAAGCGTCCATCATACTTCTTCAGAATAGTGTTTTTGGTGCTTAGATACAGAGGCCAACCCTTAGACAGAGCCATTTGGAAGGAACTGTGGGCAAAGTCTTCAATGGACTTATCTTGATTGTACATCCCCATGGCGACTCCGCCACCCTCTGCCAACACAGAAAACAGGAGGAAGGCAAATATGGCACAGATGCAACAAGGCTAGCGTCACCCACCATGATGAAAGGACCAAGTCCTAGCTCCCATGTCTGAGCCTGACTTCCACAGGCCCAGGAAGGCTTCCACCCTGCACAGCACATGAGTTCTGAAGGCAGAAAATGGGGCAAAGGTCAGGATATTTTCTAACTTGTTTTGGAAGGCGGTTAGAAATAAGCAAACACATGGTCTTTAGGATCCTGAAATTCCAAAAACTACTGATGTGAACCAGAAATGTACTAAAAAATGGGTATAAAATTTTATATCTGGCCTTTTGGTACTATAACAATTTCTAATGTGTATTTAAGTGTACACTCAATCGTTGGTTACTGAGAAAGATTTGCATCTTAAATACTGAATGAAAGTCTTTGTAATTTCCTGGAGAATATGAAGCTTGCCTCCTGTGATTAGTGGAAGTAACTGTGTTACATGTAATCACTGATGTTTCATAGCTCCTATTAGTTGAACTTTGTTATTACTGAAAGTCAGAGCTGGAACCCGTGCCAATGCCCAAGGTTAACTTGGCTTAGAAGAAGAAAAGTGCTCAAACCTGCAGAACTAGATCCTACTGCAATGATATCATTTAGAAGCAAAGAAAATAAAAGGTAGGTGTTGGATTTTTGTTTGTATGAGTGCTTTCAACAACTTTTGGATGAGGTTTGCCCTAAAGGACATTTGAAGCAGCTGAAGAAGAAAAAAACAGAAAGCAAAAGTTTTACTTTCCCAACACAAAAAAGTAGGGCAGGAAGAACATTTCAGCCAATAAATAATAAAACCGACTCCAAATAAGAACCAGAACAAAGGGCAAGATTACATGACAGTTGATTTGGGGCTCTTAACATTCATTTACACAGTTTGTGCAGAACAGTCTTGCCAACCTTCCCTCCATGTTTTGAGACAGGTGCATATCATAATTATTGATTCCTCTCTCCCCTATCACTGATTAAGTGGCTAACACTTTTGTGCCTTCACGCATGCCATGAGAAGGCATAGAAACCAATTACTTTTTTATGTTAGATTTTGGGTTCTGCAGAAATGAGATTAAGTTGCATTTTTAAGCTGTCACATAACTAACTTTAAAAAGCCAGTAATAATATTGACTAGATCATATTGAAAGCAAAGACAGCTTGTGGCGGACTGATGCTTACCTTCAAAGTTATGGACCAGGTATGTCATTGCCTTCTGGCTTCCATCGCTTGGTGTGTAGGTTATCTCTACCTTCCCAGGCCCAGGAACAACAAAATCAGTTGCTCTGTACTGTGGATGGGGAAAACAGATATCGAGATAAGAAAAACACTCTTAATAGAAATTATAAGGCAAAAAAAAGAAAGAATATAGAACTAGAAGACTCCTAGACAAGCAGGGCAGAAGGAAGAGATTCAGAGAACTCTTCTCGTTACTGGTCATACACGTTAAAACCAATAAATATTTATTAGGTGCCTAGCATATACAGGGTGGTTCTATAAGAACTAATCAGGAGAGAGCAGGAATAATACCAGGCACTTTCTTTTAGAAAGCTTAGTAAAGACTAGTAAAGACTAACATAAATAAGGAGCAACAGAAGAGTTTGCAAATGTCAAAAGAGGGCCTAGGGAAGATAAAAAAAAATATGGATGACAAAGAGAGTTGACTGTGGCCTAGAAGCGAGGGAATTCTTGGAGGAGGTGGTAATAATTTGAACTGTAGTACTGAAGGTAATGGTGAGAGTACTAACGCTCAGGCCTTGTATACCAGGTGCTGCAAGTGCTGATCTCATTTGACTGGTACACAACCTGACAAGAAAGGAACTGTGACACAGTGAAAATAATACATTCAGGTTCGAAGGGCTTGGGGTCTGGTCCTTACTTAGATTTTCAAGGCTCAATCTCTCCACAGTTATCATTGTTACTAACACCAGGCCCATGTCCACATGAAACCATCATTCTTAAAGAAATGATGACGGGTTGATGATCCCAATGCAAGGGCTGTTCAAAGGCAGCCACATGCTGTATTGGCCTGAGCTAGCAGAGAAATGTGCCCAGTGCACGCTGGGCATCCCCAAGTCATCGCTGCACTTAAACGTTCTTAGTGACTTGGATTAATTCAGTGCCTTGGAGTGAGGTACTAGTGAGTGTCAGCCACACCTATTCATTTACATACTAGCAACAGCTGGTGAAAAAGCAGTCAGGTAACAAAAAGAATAAGCATCCACTCTATGCAGAACACTTCGGGCATAAAGTCCTTCACCCTAGAGTAACTTGTTTTGATTTCTCAAAAGGAAGAAACTGAGGCACCAAGGGACCATAACTGCTTTGTAGAGACTTAGGTGTGTATATATTTAACAGTCAGTGAATTAACGTGATGCATGCAATTTTCAACCTGGGCTTTAAAAACTAGACTGGCCACTCCACCAGACGATTAAAGCCACATAAAATGTAAAAACAAAAGCAAATAAAGGCAACAAAAAGACAGACTGAATCAGTAAGGTCTCAGGGTGGTTCCCAGATTTGGGGATTTGTACTCTTGCTATTTGTGTCCCCTGACCTTGGTCCCTGGGAGATGTTTGTGAAGGACTGGCCAGGAAGAAGGGACAGTCTGAGCCACAGGGTGAAGCCCAGTTAACTGACCCCCAAGGAATGAGCTGGTGACCTGTCCTCAGAAACAGAGAGACACCTATCCCAGCCACTGTGTTCAGGGTTGACGACAGATTTCAGCACCAGGGATTCCTGTTTTAATATACAAGCTACTTTCTATGAAATTCTGAAACCTCAGTTTCAACAGGGCAGTCAGAAGGTTTTGCTGGCAGTTTTTTTACTTAACTTGGCAATGAGCCTACTTATACAGAAATACAAAGCTATGTTTGTTTTTTTAAGCAGGAAAGGATACTTAAAGGAGTTTTCATCTACTGATCAGTTTGTCTTTCATAAAATTTAATACAAGTCTTTAATATATAATCTCTGGTGCTTCTCAATTCTGTCCATATAGTTTAAACCTCACACAATTCAGATTTGAGTTGGGTAAGACTCAAATATAGGAATTAAAGCAGAGGAATAGCAAAAAAGGCAAAATAACAAAATCAAACCACCGAAAAATTCCTAAGGGGATCCCATTGTGAGCCAGTGTTGAAAACTACTGGTCTAGTTGGATCATATGAAATAACACAAACATGGCAATATCATGCGATAGAAAGGACAAAGGAAGAAAAAACACATTTGGGAAGACTCCCATGTGTTCAAATGGGCACCCATTTATAAGTTCATCCATATTTATCTCTACCTAAAGGCGTACAAATATGTAGTTATACGTGTCTGCATTTCTCATTTTGCTTGAGAACAAAACATATCAGTTGGAACTTCTGGGCCACACACAAAGTATGGAGGATCAAATTATGCCAAAATGACTTACTTGATCCCCATAGGCATGGCGACCTATGATGATGGGTTTTACCCATCCAGTCACAAGGCGGGGGATATTTTTACAGATAATAGCTTCTCGGAAGACGGTGCCACCCAGAATATTTCGGATGGTGCCATTGGGTGATTTCCACATTTGTTTCAACTTGAACTCCTCAACCCTCTTCTCGTCGGGGGTGATGGTGGCACACTTGACACCAACGTTGTACTTCTTTATAGCTTCGGCAGCATCCTTGGTGACTTGGTCTTGGGTGGCATCCCGATTCTCTATACCTAAGTCATAGCTCGGGAGGAGAAAGGACAAATCAACTTTTCAGCCACACCGACAGATTATACTGTATGCCCACAGTCATGGCGTGCAGAGCTTGGCATGCAGAAAGTGAAGGCTCCTGAACATACCTTCATCTGTCAGGTTTTAGCATGAATGTGTACCCTAAATACAGAAAGGAACTAGCGAGACTGGGGAGCTGCACCAGTCTCCTTGCACTCTCGTGGGAAGCTGTCTACCAGGAAACTAGAAACCAACAAACGCTGCCAGACTGCCTCCTGTTTTTCACCATACAGAAGCAATAACAGCCCAGGAGCAACCTTTGGCCCGGTTTCCTTCCACATACAGATTAAACTTAGGCACCACCTTTATCTTTCCATTAGTGAGATTGTACTTTTTATTTCTGCTGCCAGGAATCGGAGAGATTGTACTTTAAAAATAAAGGAATACAAAGTTTTTTTTTTTTTTAATTTTGGCATTGAAGTGGTGGTAGAGACAGATATGACGATCAGTGCTAAAGAAATGAACGACTCCTTCATTAATGCTGGCTAATCATGAGGGGAACCACCCTCTAGGTCTTAGGCAAGTCTCTCTGTTCTGGCAACAAGCCTGCAGTGTACTGGGCAAGTAATGGAACCTACCAAGGGTCTTGCACAGGCTATAAAATTTTAGCCTAAGGAAGAGCATGGCAGGTCATTCAGAGCTTTATGGATGCTGGCTGTCCACGAAGCACAGAAACTGACTGTAAAGCTTTAAAGTGTGAGAGTTGTTGAAAGTAGTGAAGACAAAATAATGTACCTAGTTTATCCTTTAAGACTTTAAAGAAGGGTTTTCAGCTCTCAAAATTGCTAAGTCATGAAGTCTTGGACATCTTTCTAGTTTTTATATTTTAGCTTCCTTATAGAGTCCAATTGCTGACACAAGCACAGAGATTGTAATCTTGATGCATTTATTTTTATTCATATTTGTATTTATAAATTTTGTAGTTTACTGCGATACAATCCCAGCCCCTTTTCAGTTTCTATTTTGAAATGGGGTCTCCCGAAGTCACTACATTGCCCAGGCTGGTCTCAAACTTGCAATCCTGCCCCAGCCTCCCACAGTGCTGGGATTACAGGCGTGTGCCACCATGCCCGATGCTTGATTCATTTCTAGCTCTGATCTCAGATAATTCATATAAATCTAACAAGGTCACATACTCTATCTTCTGGCCTAAGAAGTGCTGAATATCTACGAATGTCTCATCCCAACTCCATAAGAAGGATTGACAATTCTCATGTTCTAGGAACCATTTTCTTAAAGAATCTACCAGCAAAATGGTAGATTTTCTTGTTTCTTTTCTTAGTATTTCTAAGAGGAAAGAAAGAATAAATGTTCTGAGACCGCTGGGCGTGATGGTGCATGTCTGTAATCCCAGCAGTAGGAAGGCTGAGGCAGGAGGATCACTGTGAGTTCAAGGCCAGCCTGAACTGCGTAGCGGGACCCTGCCTCAAAAAACCAAAACAAAAAGTTTTGAGACCACTGTCTGGCCTATGTAGTACAATCCCCCCAAAAACGGTGACTGGTTAAATTTTAAAAACGTGACAGTAAAAGTCACATTGCACTGATCACTATCCTCCCCCACTCTGAACACACTGATCCCATCATTGTTGCCACTTTCTCTGTCTTTTTTTTTTTGGTCTTTCTGAGACAGGGTCTCACTATGCAGTTCAGGCTTGCCTTGAGCTTGCTTTGTAGCCCTGTCTGGTCTCGAACTTGCAACAATCCTCCTGCCTCAGCCTCCCCCGAGCGCTGGGATTACAGGTGTGCCCCACCACTCCTGCCTTGGAAGCTGTTTTTATGTTTCCTTTCCTTTATGTTTCATCAACCTCTGGCAGCACTGTCTTTACACCTTTATTATGGTTGCAATGTAGATGCTACCAGCAGCTTAGGTTAAGAACAACTAAAAGGGGTGCCTAACAGCACCACAAAAACTTCTTACACCCAAGCTAGTCAACAAGTCTTTAGGACACATTCTGAATGATTTTGAGTCAGGGCAAACATGCTTCCAGCTGCTAGAAGAGTTACTGTTTGTCAGAAAAGTTACTCAGAACTGTACCATGCCAGTCTTCTACTCCTTCAAATGTAGGAGGAGCAAGAGCATGCCTATGAAAAACACAGGGTTTCAAGGCCAGGCTGAACTACACAGTGAGAGCTTGTCTCCAAAAAGACAAAAACAAAAACATGAGAGCAAATGAGAGAACTGCACAGAGACTTTTGTAGCTACCTCCCAAACACTGCAAATCCAGCACAGAGGGACACAGATGAGTTCAGGGAACTGCTGCTGCAAGCTGAGTACTGGGTTAAGTCACTGCAAAGGGTCCTTCTGTGCTGAGATTGTACGAAAGGGAAAAGGCAAGAGGAACAAGGGAGAAACACTGTAGACTAATTAAATACAGTGGCAGAAACTGAGCTTCAGAGCACAAAACTGTGCTCACTACATTTAGTTTGTTTCCTACATTCTCTATTGCTCTTCCACAAATAACACCTTGTGCTACTGATTTACTACAAATAAAACTTTCACAGGACAGAGGGTTAGAAAGACCTGAAAAATCACTTTGTTTCCCTCTTATTTCTTGACCTTTCAGTAATTATAAACTCAGTTTGTTAAAACAGAAGATTCATCATATATTTGGGCTAAAAAGAAAAAAGCTTTAGCCACAAAACACAGCTACGTCTATGTAAAAACAGCTCATGATACCTTGGCATGTAACTTAGATTATGTTTTCTGAGTTTGCTAGCTGTAAGGGGGAGTTATTCACTTACCTATGCAGATCCAGTTCCACATAGGGGAAAATAAGTTTTTCTTTAATCAATTCCCAAATGATTCGTGTCATTTCATCTCCTTGCATCTCTACTACAGAACCGCCATGGATTTTTCCGGACATTTTTACCGACAATAGACCTGAAAAGAAAAAACGATTATGTGCCTTACCATTTATTTCATTCTAAAGTAAAAATGAAACTTAAACAATCTGGTGACTCTTAAAAAGAACAGTTCATAATAGCACTGTGCACAAAGCACTAATAACAGCAGCGATTACATGGACAATCACAGTTGAGCACTTTCCCTGTATTAAGTACTACGCCGACAGACTTTGCATGTGGTTTCTGAGTCAGTCCTATGAGACAACCCTGTCAGGTGGAAATTATCTCCCATTTCACTTTAAAAGAAAAAAAGTGTTGCCAAGGACATCTGGTTAGAACATGGAGGGGTAGGTGACCCTGTAACATGCCCTTAATAAAGCCATGTTTTCAACTACTGGTTTATCTAAGGAAATGATATTTTTCCATCATATCAAGTTATTTGAACTTTCTACCCTCCTTATTTTACTGGGCCTACAAGATGAGCAGAATGAGGACATGTGCACAGCTATCCCCCTTCTTGCTACCTTCCTGAAAGAGTTAAAAGCATCATACCACAGTGATATCTGCACATTCATATTTATAATGGCACAGTTGGTAATAGCTAAATCTTGGAAACAGCCTACATGCCCATCAACCGAGGAATGGATAAGGAAGATGTACTTTTTTTAATAATGGAGCATTACTCAACCATAAAGAAAGATAAATTTGAGACATTTCTAGGTAATGGATGTACCTAGAGACCATACTCATAAGTGAAATAAATTTGGCACGTATGTTTAAATATGACATTGTTTTTCTGATGTGAGAAACCAAAAGGGTAAATAAGGATCAAAATATAATGTATAATAGATATTATAAAACAAGATAAAAATGTTCAAATGGAAAGGGGAACTAGGGAGGGAGGAGGAGGAAAGAAATGAAGGGAAAAGGAAAAAAAGAAAATAGAAAATTGGAAACAAAAGTCTTTAAATAAGGAAGGGAAGTGGGGTTGAAGGGAGGGGAGGGGAATGGGGAAAAAAGAAGTCTCAAGATCTATCATGTACAGGTACAAATTCCCTATGATGAACGTTATTATGTATACCTAAAATGTAAAATGTACCAATAAAAAGTAATAAAAAAAAAAAAGAATGAGGATATTCAACTGGCTCTTGGGCCCCATACTCAGGAAACTTGCAAGTAAAAGATTTAGAAATCCTGATAAAATTGGCTTTCTTAGCCACACAAACATCACAGATATGATTCCAAATACCAAAGTAGGTTCTCAGTTAGAGAAACGTGGACCTAGAAGGGAAAGGTGTTCCTCAGCGCCGAAACTCCTACACCAGCTGTTCACCAGCAATATGGGTGACATGGAACACTGCACTGTTCTAGAGGGAGGAGCAGTCACTGTAAGAATAAGGTGTGTATAGAGGCATACAGCTCAGCTGCACAGCACCTGCCTGGCAAGCGCAAAGTCCTGAGTTCCCAGTACAAAAACAAAACAAAGAATAAAGTGTCGGGGTAGAAAATGCTAAATAAGCAACCTGATTCCCAGAAAGGACAACGGCAGACTCTTCAGAAGAAGTGCAAAGGTGAGGCTTCTAAGGCCGTGTCCTATGCTTGTTCCTCAAGAGGCAAAGAGGCTCTGAGTTGGCTAAAAGTATCTGGTCCTTCTCACGAAAACCGCCCCCCCCCAACAACAGAACTACAAATTGCTTTTATCTCCTTCAGTGGGAGCTGAGCAATGAAGTCAGAAGAACTGCCTTTAAAAGTACTATTAGGTAAGAAACTTAGAAATTTCTCTTGAAAAGTTAAGCTAAAGTAATTTAGTCCTTAAATAAAAAATATAATGATTAGCAAATAATAAACCTTAATTCCTTGTGACAAGCCAGGGTGTATTCCCAACCCGAGGCCCATTTCCACTTCCCAAATTTGTAAATCTTGAATCCAGCTTACTAGTACGGAGGAGGTTCCCTAGACCATTCCTGGGAAACCTTGTGGAACTCAACTGGAATAAAAAACGAAATAAATGCTGTGGATGTGTCAATTACTTCCCATCAGTACTTTCAGCAACAACTTTAGAATGCATGTTAAAGTCTAGGATTCTGTCACACTTAAATGCCACTGTTGCACCTTGCTTTCTTTTGCAGGGAGCTTCGGGGGGTAGATGTTGTTTTTTGAGACAAGGTCTCGATATGTAGCCCAGGCTGGCCTTCAACTCACTATGTAGTCCAGGTTGGCCTTGAACTCACAGCTATCCTCCTGGGATTATAAGGCATGAGCCACCATGCCCAGCCTGTACCTTGCTTTAAATAAAATCTTGAAACAAACAGAAACATGAGGCAGCGAACTTATCCTGGTTTTGATATGACATTTTCATGGCCATGTTCTTACACAGTATTATGCAACAGTATGACTTGGCTATTTTTCCTTGGTGCCAAATACAGTTTAACAGAAAATCAGACCCTGCACTAAAATGTCCGAACTGAGTGTCACTATTCTTTTCAGTTCATTATTTCCTTCTGAGTACAGACACAGCCTCTGCAGTAATCTTTCTATATCTTATGGTGTCTGAACTGCATAGCGAGACCCTGTCTAAAAAAGACCAAAAAAAACCACAAAAAAGTGAAGCTTTATTGTAATTACAATATAGGACATTATTGTATTTTTCCTGGGTTTGATTTCCAAGGGGTAGCGTCTGGGATCCACTGAATTCACTGCATCCTGCGCCTCAGAGATTCTGCCCCCACGCAGCCCAGCTTCTGAAGGAAGGAGGGCTCCAACGCCGAAGTCTGTTAACCGAGTCTGAAGGCACCTGAATTCCAATCTCCTGACATACTTGTGCTACTCTAGAAGTTAACCTGGAGTCAGAAGACAGTAGTTTAAGCAAAAACATGCCCTCTGCTCTATTTATAATTTTAATTATATCAAGTCCAACTTTTGAGTTTTTTTAAGAAAAAAAAAAAAAAAAAGCTGAATTCAAGATAAATTCTGGGACAAAAAATTCTGCTGAGCGAAGGTGTTGGAAATTTACTGTTGTACAAAAGCAACAAGGAATTTATTGTTGGAGGTACTCCTGCCTTTCTTGCAGTGCCTACACTTACTCCAACGCAGTATTGCTACATCAAAGAAAACACAGAAGAGAGGAAATCACTAATTCTCACCTTCACAAATAAATCGATTTCCAGTCACCCCCCCAACTCTTTCCAATATTGCAGACTCAACTAAATGCAGTTTATTTCCTAAAACAAAACAAAATCGGGAATGGAAAGCCGTAACATAGGAAGCAATCCTGTCAGAACGATTTACCTGGTTTTTTGCTGTTGTTGTTTTGGGTTTTTGTTTTTTGAGACAGGGTCTCGCTATGCAGTTCAGGCTGTCCTTGAGCTCACTTTGTAACCCAGGCTGTTCTCAAACTCACAATGATCCTCCTGCCTCAGCCTCCCGATTACAGGCATGCACCACCACGCCCGGCCATTTAGCTGTTTTCAATACCTGCCAGATAGCCCAGTTAATCAGGCTTAAAGTTCAGTGCTGTGTGGTATCCAGCGGGGCAAAGGGCAGGTTTCAATCTGCAGACACTTTCCTGAGAAAGGTCGACGTGGTACAAACAGCTGTGGGTGCCTCGGAGGGCGTGTCTGGGCTCGCAGCCTGCTAGTGCATCTAGGGGTTTGCACGTCCTTGGGTGACGCTGGGGGCATGCTGTGTCCTCGTTACCACTGTGCAACAGGGCTGCAACCCCAGCTGGCTCGGTTCCTCCTTCCCGATGTCCATGCCAGCCGCTTCCCGGTGTGGGGAGCTGGCTGGAACGCCACTCCCAGGACCGCAGATTCGGGGAGACCGTCTCTGCCCACCCCGCGGTCTCTGTCTGGCGGTCGGCGGTCGCCGGTGACAGCAGAGGGAGCCGCGCCCCTCGGCCCGGGCGGACGCAGCCGTCGGCCTCCCTCCTGCTCGCCGAGCACGCACTGTGCTCCTCGATTCCTAGGGAACCCAGGAGCCAGCACCTGTGCCGGCCGGATCCCGCCCCGCGCGCAGCCGGCTCTGCACCTCCGCGCCCGGGCCTCGTGCCCACCGCCCGCCACCCTCGGGGATCAGCGCCCCTCCCCCAGCGGCCGAGGGTCCGGGGGCCGCTCGGCGCCGAGCTTACCTCCCGGTGAGGCCTGAGGCGAGCAGGTAGGCGGCCACGACACACACACGTTCTCTCACGCACGCACTCGGACAGTCCCTACCAAGCCGGCGCCCCAGCTTCGAACACGGGTGCAGACCAAGGACCTGAGGGCGGGTCTCCACGGAGCACCCTTTCGGCTTTTGTCCCCTCCCGGGCCCCACCCCCTCAGCCCACGGAGCCCCGCCCCTGCCGCTCCACCAATCGCCGTGCGCCGTCGCCTCCGTGGTGGGCGGGGCAGGGTATGGGCGGGGCCGGAGGTGTAGCGGGCGGAGCCCACGGCGTAGCCTTTTCCGCACTCTGGGGCGGGTAAGATTCCGTCCGGCGCCCCGGGGCGGAGGCACGAGAGCGCCACCTGCAGGCGGGAACTTGCGCTAGGTGCGGGACCCAGGGCTCTGAAATCAGTCTGGAGCAGTAAAGCGCCCCGGAGCAGCCCCCGCCAGGCCCTGTTCCAGGCACGCCCCAGTGTGCCCTAAACTGGAACCCTGGCGAAGCGTGCCCTCGGCCTGAGCGCTCTGGGGGTTACGCGAGTGCAACTCGCGGATGCACACGGGCAGCCACGCCGCTGCAAATATTGCCTGCTACCACCATCACGCGGTCTTGTGGGCTTCTGTATCTCTTCTCCCAATTATTATTGGTTACTATAAATAAGCCCCATTCATCATTTGCGTTAGAAGATAGCAAAGTAAACCGGAGGTGTGGCGCACGCCTGTAATTCCAGTACTGTAGGAGGCTACGGCAGGAGGATCCAAATTCCAGAGCAGCCAGAGCAATTGAGAGGCTGAAGGAGACCCTGTCTCAAATAAAAAGCAAAAAAGGGCTGGGGATGTAGCTCGCTGCGAGGCCCTGGGTTAAATCTCTATCCCTATAAAAATAAAACTAGCGATTATTATCTGGGTTCCAATAAAGCTAAGCTAGAAATGTGAAATCTTAGAAAACAGTGATTAAATGAAAGTAGTTCCTCAGAAATTTACTTTTTTATTCCTTAGTTTTGAAAATGTGCAGAGTATTTTTATACTTATGTACACAGTAATCCATAGCCTGCTTGTATGCCCAAGGTTCAAGAACTTTAGTTTTCAAAATTATGTCTAGTGTTGCATTTCAACATTGCCTTTAGAAGATGATTATGGCGAGTGCCAGTCAGGTATACTTTGCTCACCACAGGGTCCTGGCATTTTTCCCAGATAGAAGAGGAGGAGGAGGAAAGCATCCACGGTGCTGGGCTGGGATGTGGGGTGAAAAATACTAGCAGCCACTTGTTCATTTTTGCAGGAATGTGCATGTGCTTGTATTTTCATCCCAGTCTGTCATCTAAAATTATGTTTTCTTCCATATCATGTCAGATTCTCATAGTTTATGATCCCTTGGTTACTACTAGAAGTAAGCATTTTTATGTATTCTTCTAGAAAGGATTTAGGCTGGGCGTGGTGGCACACACTTGTAATCCCAGCACTCGGGAGGATGAGGCAGGAGGATTGTTGAGAATTCAAAACCAGCCTGAACTTCATATCGAGACCCTGTCTCAAAAAGACAAAAGCAAGGGTCGGCGAGATAGCTCAGTGGCACAAGCGCCTGCCTGGCAAATGCAAGGTCCTGAGTGCGATTCCCGGTACCAAAAAAAAAGACAAAAACAAGCAAACAGGATTTAGATACATGGAATACAGCAGAAGAAGTATTGGTTATATGGGAGGAATATGAGGTTAAAAAGAAAGTAAGCACCGCTGTAGGGTATCACACAGAATCACAGTGAGTTTCATCACAAAACGTTTTTCATCAAATCCTAAACATTTGCAAAAGACAGCAAATTTGGTATCACGGACCTGGCCACGATCCCCAACTGCCTGTACGAGGGGTATGGCGAAAGGATGAAATAAGAAACAGAGGCAAATTCATTGATGCGTGATGGGGGCTGGGAGGTCACTGCCTCAGGATGGCAGAGACAATGACTCTTGGGCCAGCCACCATTTATGGGGTGTACACAGCAATCAGAGGGATTATCAGATGACTCAGACGGTGGTGGTTATTTGATGCTAACGGATGAGGACAGGGGAGAGATGACAGGTTAAGAAAGGGTTTGTCCTTTCCCCAAGGTGAAACAGGATTTTATTAGTACTGGGTTCTCAAGGAACCAGGATGACTTCAACTGATGCAATCTGGGCCATAACAGCATCACGGGACCATTGAGACCTCAACTGTGACGAGAGGTGCACAGAATTACGTTCCTGCATATCACAGCCGACCCTCATGGCAAAGCAGTGGGCCTTGGACAAGCCCTAATTACAATTTCATTATGAAATGATTTTCGCCCAACAATTATATAGAACAGTCCTTGACAATTTGGTTCTGAACTAATTCATAGGAGGTGGGGTATAGCTCTGCGGCATAGCACCTGCCTGGGAAGCATGAGGTTGTGAGTTTGATTCCTGGTACCAAAAAAAAAAAAAAAAAAGATAAACCAATTTGTAGGAAAGATAGCACTTATGGTGGTGCTGGGGGGTCCTAAACATCTAAAACAGTGTTTTAAGCAAGTGATGTATGAAATGTTTTTTTAATTGAAAAACATCTTTTTGTCTGTCCCTGGAA